CTCAGCCAAGTCACTTTGACAGTACACATGACAGGCTTGTGTGAAACTAAGGTATCCAGTGGATTCTTTCCTTTACATCATATAGAGCAAAGAGCAAATACAAGCTATTTGGTGAAGCAATTGGCTTGGCACTTGCCCTGACCATTCCCTGCAAGGACAGGCAGATCTAGAGAACACCACAAGAAGGCTTGGGAGTTTGGGGGTGGGAAGGCGTGGAGGGCAGGTGGTAATATATGAGTGTTTTCTGATTCTCCAAGGGCCATTGATGGAACATTTGACTGGCCAGCATCTTTGTCCCATCCTCAATATATGGCCATCCTCATGGCCAAGATGCAGATTCCAAACTCTTAGGTCAGTTTCTAAATTGAGGTATCTAGGTACAGAGAGAGAAAATGGTAGGCAGGGGTGAAGAGGTTTTGAGGAATACCCTGAAAGCTGAGTTTTAGACCCAGTGTTACCAACAAATGACTGAGAGACTTGCACAAGTTGATTTACCTTTCCAAGCTTCAGTTTTATCTTCCAATTCCCTCTCTTCCTCCCTTCTCACTTCCAACTGCCCAACCCCTGCCACTTCCCAGATGAGGTGAGGAGATGGTGAGCAGCCAAGGGTTCTGGGAGCTCCTTCCTCAAGGTACTAGAGTGTGGGCTCAAGTCCCAAAGAGCATTTGTAGGTACACATGCCTAGCCTTCATCGTCTCTGAATCAGATCAGGCAGGCCCATAATTTGTCCCCTCTTTTCTCCGTGTTCTTTTTTCTCATTTCCTTGTTTTCTTTCCTGTTCCTCTCTGTCTACATCAGCAACCTCCTTTTCCTGGTATCTAACCAGCCCTCTCAATTTTGTTTCACTTTATTGGCCAAAGATGCTATGATCCTATGGTTATGTGTTATTGCCTTTAAAAAGTATTGTGTGCATGGGTAGCTGGACTTACTGCAGAAATTTTGGGAAATACAGAAAACTATACTCTGCAGTTGCTGCTGATAGCTCTGGTTTATTGAGTGCTGACTCTTTGCCAGGCAATGTTGGAAACACTTCACATGTACTTGTTCATTTAACATCCCAAGAACTCCATAAAATAGGTGCTATTATTGTCTCCATTTTGCAGGTAAGGAAACTGAGGCACAGATAAGTTAAGTAACATAAGAGAGAGCTAAAAACCTCCCATAATATGCTGAGAATAATACCATAACCAACACAGAATCCTTATTTCTGAGTGAATGGAAGGCCTCCAGCCTTGTACATGCATTTATTCATTCAAAAACTGTTTTGCCACAGCTCTACAATGCCCTGAGGGCAGTGGCGGGTTGAAGGACCTTTTCTGATAACTGAATTTGAAGTGAGGCCTTTCATCATCAAGTGCAGAGGGAGAGCTTCTGGCCAGTGAAAGAAGTAGGCTGAAATCCACCATCATCCTACATCCCTTTTCCCAGATCCAGCAGCACAAGAGACAGAAATCCAAACAAGATCTCAAGGTCTTGCCAAGAGCCAGCTCTGGAAGTGAGGGTGTTAAAAATAACCACCAAAAAGTGGCCACTGCTTCTGCCCTGAGAACAGTCATTTCGATGCCTGACATAGGTCCTAGAAGAACCCAGTGCCATGTTACTCTCATCAGTGATGGTGGCAGCATTATCGAGCACATAGACACGCTGTGCACGCTTCAGGGCATGGGGAAGTGCTCATGAGGTATTAGAGAAGGAAAGAAAGCCACAAAACAGAGTGTATGTGTGTGGTGGGATGATGGAAGACATTGTCCAAAAAAAGAAGTGCCCATACACATTGAAAAAGTACTGGAAAAATTTTTGGAAAACAAACAGCTAGTGATTTTGCCTAAAGAAAAGTTATAGGGGATTTTCTTTTCTTTTCTTTTAGTTCCCCAAATTTCCACAAAGAACATGTATTACTCATAGGCTCAGAAAAATTTAATAATGTTATCTTAAAAAAAAAAGCTGTACCAGTTGATTAACAGTTGAGAGTCTACAGTTTATATTCAGGAAAAATTCAGAGTTCCGTATTATTTTTTAAAAAGGAAGAAAACTAATATTTATTGTCTAAGCATTTCTCCTACATTACCTTATGCAAGTTGTATATGGCATTGTAAGGTTTATATTCTTGTTGTGGGGACAGTAAGAAATGTGACCAAAGGGACAGCTGATGAGGGGCAGAACATACAATGCCAGATGACTCCCAAATTCAGATTCTGTTCTCCAAGCCAATGGTGTTCTACCACCTTATTTCTAACATGAACATAACCTTCTTTCATCTGTTGCTCTTTGAAGCAATGATGGAGAGTCAGGATGGGGAGGGAGGCATAGGATACATCTCAGAATCGTCTGGAGGCTCCCATGTGATTGGGATCCGCTTATCCCCCAGATCTCTACGTTCTCCCTCAGCGGTGTGGTATTACCAGAGGCACCCAGAGCTGGCAGCATGATTTCCAGGAGAGTGGGAAGGCTCGTCGCATCAGCAAAATACCTCTCCAGAGACCACCTTTGGCTTAAAGGTCTTTGTGCCTTTGGCTAAAATGTAAATGTCTCTGAGCATAAAAATGCCTTAAACCATACCATGCCCGAGTACAAATAAGTTTGTCAACTTCTCTCCCAAGTGGACAAAGAGGATGACTGAACACCTGGAGAAAGACAGGTATGCGGATGGCAAGAGGGGCATGAAAAGCCACTCAGATCTACATGCCCTTCTTCATAGTCCTGCCAATGGCTGGCCTTGATTATAATATTTAGGTTTCTGTGTTTATATAGCCTGTCAGGGGAGAGCGGAATATCACATTCTATCAAGTCGCTTGAAAAGAACCCCTGATTTACAACTCCGAGGCACTAACAGAGTGTTTGATTTAAAGGAGTGTATCTATGTAACTGGAATAAACACAGCACACTCCAGGGCATCTGCAGATAGCTTCTTCCTGAGTAAATGGCAAAGAAGAGCTACAACTTGTTTATATGCCTTCCCTTCCCCAAGGGTTATCAGGGCTTTTTCATCACCTTGGAGGGAAAACAAATGATCAAAAGATGGATGACCTCTCGTCCCTTCCATATCTCCTTCTTGGTATGTCAAAGGGCTTTCCAGCAGGCAGGGCAAGCTAATTATTTTCTTCTAATCAATCAGCTATTTTAATGATGTGCGACACTCCTGCTCTATCAGTATCATTAAGATAACGTCTGCTCTGTGGGGCTGCAGCTAGCTGACAGAAGTTCTCTAGGCAGCCTAGACCCTCTAAAAGTCCAAACTCATGTTCATCTAGGTGTACATGCCCAGGCCTCGAGAGGGAAAATCAGACCTGGAATCAGTGGCTAGGTGGAACTGATCTGAGGAACTACTGAAATACAGGTCTGCCCCCAAAGGCCTACCACAAAACCTTATATTTCAACTAGTTCCTCTGCGTTTTATTCCTGAACACAGCCAGGTGTTATCATTATTTCCACACTACCTCAGGAATCCTTGTCAGAACAGCTGCCTTTAACAGAGTGCAAAGACACAGAAAGAAAGATCTGGAATATAGTCTAGGTGTCCCAGCTTTCCTGTTTTGGGGAGGAATGAAGCAGATGGGAGAACACTGGGGTCCCTGGGGAAGGAGCAGAAGCGATGTTGGGAAATCGTGACAGGAACACTGACGCGGGTTAATGAAAACACACTTGGTTTTGTTCCATAGGTTGCCTAGAGCCTGCCCTTCAGGCCCAGGGTGTGCTAAGCAGGGAACAACTCCTCCTTGTCGAGAGCCTGAGCTCACAAGCATAGGCCACGCCGAAGTCTAAAGGTGACCACCAGGGTAAGAATGATAGCGGTAAGAATGAGCCTGGGCGCTGCAGGCCTCGGTCCTCGGGACAGCCTCACCCCAGACAGGCAGCGTCTCCGGCTCCTCACTTGCTCTTTGGCTTGGGCACCTCTAGCAGCCGCAGGAAATCAGATGGGAACTCCCCGACCCGGTCTCACCAGCTGACAGTGACCCTGAGCAGATGTTCCAAAGAAGCCTTCACACCCCTCCCCCATTAGGGAGTAATGGCCCCAGGGCTACAGGGGGAGGGGCGCCGGGCTGCAGGGCCACAGCTGGCTAGCAGCTTTTGTTCTGGGTGACTTCAGCTTATTATCTGCCTTCAGAATGTCCTCCCCACAGAGGGAGGGAAAGCCCTTTGGAGATATGGACACAGACTGCTCTCACCTCTGAATGGGGCCTGCAGTCGGGGGCGGGGTGGGGGAAGTGTGCCATCCTCCCCGCTCATAGATGGCTCTTTGTTCGACAGTAGAAACACATTTCCACACCACCACCAACCCTGCCATTTGGCAGAATCCACCAGGAGCAGCCAGCTTTCCCTGAGTCCTGTGGTATATATATATACAAATCTGTAGGCTCATGCGAATATTGCATTCCAGACCATTCCACAGGTGCTGCAGATGCAAAGTGGAGTAAGACATGCCTCCTGTCCTCAGAGAGTTCACAGTAGGGGAGGGCGGTTCAGAAATATAAACATATAATCACAATAAGGTGTCATAAATGCTACTAGCGGTCCCTATGGGTAGAGTGAAGACGGAAACGAGATAGGAGAGAAAGCTTCACAGAAGAAAGGGTAATGTTGGGTCTTGAAGCAGAATGAACAGGAGTTTGGAGATCAAGCAAGGGGAAAAGGCAGTCTAGACGGAACAGCTCTGCTTGCAAAGGCAAGGAGGCCTGGGGAAACTGGCCCAGATCGTTGCCTGTGCTCTCTGTAAGAATTAAGAGGAAAGAAATTCAAACTTTTCCTTACATCCTTTGATAAATACTTGTTTGACACCATCTTATTTTTCAAGCACGAGGGTATGGCAAATAAACACAAATGGATTTGTTCTTCCTGGAGCATACAGTTTACTCCTTGAGACAGATAAGTGAATAAGTAAGTACATAATTACAAACTAGGTCAGTTTCTTTAAAGGAAGTACAGTAGTTCCTCCTTTATTTGCAGTTTCCCTTTCCAAGGTTTCAGTTACTAGCGGTCAACCAGAGTCCTTCAGATGGTCAGTGAGAAAGGTCATCGTCCATCAGAAGGTCCGCAGTAGCCTAACGCTGTATCACAATGCCCACATCATTCACCTCACTTCATCTCATCACATAGGAACTTTATCATCTCATATCATCACTAGAAGAAAGGTGAGTACAGTACAGGAAGATATTTTGAGACCTGATTCAACTTACTTTGATTAAAGTACATTGTTATAATTGTTCTATTTTATTATTAATGTTGTTAATCTCCTACTGTGCCTAATTTATAAATTAAACTTTATCAGGAAAAAAATGAAACATACGTAAAGTTTGGTAGTATCAGCGGTTTCTGGCATGCCCTGGGGGTCTCAGAACATGTGTCCCGTGAATAAGGGGGGCATACTGTAATCAGAGTTCTGTAATAAACCGAAAGAAAGTAGGGAGAGTTTTCTTTAGATGGGACACGAGGGAGGCCTCTTCGAGTTAAGGGATGTAATCACCCAGAGAAGAGCCTTTGGGGCTCAGGAAATAGCCTATACCAAAGTCTTGAGGCAGAAGGAGGCTTGGAAATTTTGGAAAATCAAAAAAGGTCAGTGCCGATAAAGGGTAGGGAGAAAGAAGAAGGGTTGGAGGTGCCTTTGATGAGATTTTAAGGGCCAGATCACGCAGGGTCTAGTAGGTCAGAGCAAAGAGTTTGGGGTCCTTTTTTAAGTGTGAAGAGATGACAGAATAGTTTTAAACAAGAGTTTTTACAGATTTAATAGTTTTAAACAGGCTTAAATAGCTTTATTATAAATTTAGATGGAAAATAAGTCACTGACTTTTGTGTGAAGCATGTACTGAAGGAAGTCAAGAGTAAAAATTAGGAGCTCAATAAGGGCTTTGCGCATAGCCCAGGAGGAGCTGACAGTGGCTCTGTCGATGGCGGTAGCTGTGGGTGTGGGAGTCTCGGATGGATTTATGAAACTAATTTGTCATTCTGGTTCTCTTTCTTGCCTCACAATGTTTTCTCTTTCACAGATGTCATAATTTAAGCACTTCTGAGAATAATACACCCTTTCTTTGTATTCTTTCTGTGTAACAAGTACTTGACATGTGTCCTTGGTCTAGAAAAGGAGGAGCCACGGGGAGCTGGGGAATAGATCCAGCCCAGTGCCTCTCCCTGGACTCTGGGAGCTTCTTTGGCCTTTGTCCAACTCTGTCCAGGTGCCCACCTTAGCCAATCTTCCTCCTCCCAAACACGAAGTATTCATTAAAAGCCACTTTCTCCATAGTCTTTTCTTGCTACTGGGGTCTAGGTAGAAGACACTCACAGGACCAGGTATTTCACCAGCTGGGCACTCTTGGCACATTTCTGGGCTGTGTTACATTGTCTTGTTTCCATCCTTAACCTTGAGGCCTGCCAGATTATCCATCTACTGCTGCTCCAGAAGTCCAAAATCATGCATACAAAAGAGGGTCAAAAGTGCTTGAGTTGCTTTATAATTTATTACCTGCCTCCCTCCAAAATTTCTTGAGGGAAGCCTCAGTCATTCTCAGGATCACAACTCAGTCTTGAGAGAGTCTCCTCACAACCTTCTCTTTTACCATACTTCACCAATCCCTCAAATACGCTTTGCAGCCACTGGAAGACAATTGTGCCAATGTGTGTGTGTGTGTGTGTGTGTGTGTGTGTGTATAATTTCCAATATACTGAATATTAGGATTTATAAAGTACTTTCCCATACATTTTCTCCTTATTAATTAGTACTTACTACACCAGGATTCTACAGGTGAAAAAAAAAATGAATCTCATAGATGTAAAGTTATTTGGCTATAGACACACAACATTTAAGTTCCAAGAAAGTAGAGATTGTGTCTGCACTATTCTCCACTGTATCTCCAGGGCCTACCATGGTGCCTGAAACATAGTAGATAGTTGATAAGTATTTACTGAATCAATCAATTATTAATTAATTAATTAATTAATTAATGACATCTTGACACAGCTGGGGTTAAATTCTAAATTCTAAAATAAATTAATTAAAAAAATAATTTTTAACAATCTAAATTCTAAATTCTAACGTCACTATTCACCGTGTATTGATCCCCTTTGATAAAATAGCAGGTCAATCTACAGAAATCAAAACTAATGAAACCACTTACTGAACTCAGCCTTTTAGCTTAGAAACATTGTGTAACCCACATCAAAGTCAAGCCCTGTTTCAGTGACTCTATCCATTTGGTTTACTGTGGATTGAATGAAGTGATGCGGAGAGGAATTCTCAGACTAAGGGGTTCTTACTATGCTTTGGCTCCATGACTCTTTGTGGTGTTACCCACCCTTCTGTCCAACCCAGGCCTAAAAATACATATATGCTCACACATATATTTTACACACCATTTTATGTAGGGCATAGCCGAACTTCCTATGCAAGTTTAAGACTATCTTTGGGGACTTTTTTGCCAAAATGGATGCTTAACATATCATAAGTGCCTCTGATAAACTATAGGCCCCCAAAATGTACACAGCTACTGTTGGGCTTCCAAGAATAGACAGGAAGGAAGGAGAGACAGAAGCTCACAGAAAGTGGTGCCCTTTATTGCATCTGCAGGGGAGCAGCAAGTCAGCTGACTAGCATTTCTAGTTGGTTTAAAAAGCTAAAGGATAGGAAAAGTTGGTGAATAATTTTTTTCAGACACTCCTACTCAAGAAACCTCAGAGCAGCCTGCTGGTTAGTTGGCTAGTTTTGCATTTATTTCTGAGGAATGAGAGAAGGTTGATTATACATCTAAGTCCTTGCTGACCCGTGGCTAGGAGCTGAGTAGTCTGACACATTGCATCAAAACTTGGTTACTCATGTAAACACGATCTACCTAATGATTGATTTATCCTCAGAGAATTTTGAAACCCGGCTGTCTTTTTGCCCCTTTCCCCCACTAATAGTCTTGGTAAATACAAATAGAGTGGTTTTATAAACTCTCTTTGAATAAACCCCAGAAACTGAGCCAAGACTAGCATCCACAATCCCACTTTTGGGAACAGGCCTCCTTCCCTTAGATCACTATTCCTTGTGAAAATACCACATTCAAGTTAAACAGACTTGCTGGTGTGGTCAAATCAAATAGTGAAATGCAAAATAAAAAACCTTTTGTATGGAGGAATGAATGAAGTAAAATAATTTTCCTGCCAGCTCAAATACATCTAAATATCTCTGGAGTTCCATGACCTTCAAAATAAAGATGGATTTGTGAAGATCAGTGATGACAGCCATGGGAAGAGAGGAGGATAGCAGAGCCAACCCAGCTTTTAATGAGGAAAAAGAATTCAACCATTGAGCACTCAGGAGCCCCAAATCCTGCATACAGCAACCGAATATAATGTAAGCTTCCCATATCCTGCTTGTGCTCTGACATGAGAAAGGTCAAATTTCTCCAACAGAGTGAAAATCTTATACCAGCCATGTATAACATATTTTTTATAAATTACAAAAGAAAACTTACATGTGCACATATGCAGCAATCATATATACATACATAACAAAAAATACGTGTATTTAACAAAATAACATATTACAAATATATGATTATAGACATACGTAATGTAGTAGAGCAATTTTTAATACTTAAGCAAACTTGAAAGCAAGAAGTAATGACAGTATTGTATGTCTGTCCTGTGCCTGGCACCATTCAATATTTCACTGCTATTAACTCATTTGATCCTCACAATAACTCTGTAAGGGTACATTGCAATCCCCATCAGTTGAGGAAACTGAGACACAAAGAAGCTGTGTAACTTGCCAAAGGTATACAGTTAATAAGTGGCAGAGCTGATGTTTTAATTCCAAGTTATCAGAATCTAGACTCCATGCTTTGAATCACCACTTTAAAAGAGAGCTCTAGGTAAAAGTTGAACGTGGAGTTCCCTGTGGGCATGTTGGAGCTGGAATACGTTGGGACCGGGTACTATCAGCAGTGCAGGACAGTTGTTGAAATCACATAACCCCATGTGTGTTGTAAAGCTGAACCTAAAATCTTGCCTAAAGATAGACATTGGGACATTCTGTCCTGATGTAACACTAGGAAAACTCTATCCACAGGTTAGGAATGTGGCACTGAAGGAATGTCACTTGCAAGAAACAGAAACCCCAAGATCACTCTGTCCAGAAATGGGGTCAAAATCATGCTATATCATATGAGAGTGAGAAATTAACACAAAAACTGGTACAAAAGTAAACTTTTGACCTCCCTGTAAAGATTTCTCCCCTGGAAAAGAACTCTTCTTGAACATGAGCTCAGAAGCACAAAAGGAAACAAACTCCCATGAAGGACAGTGAGAAAATGCATAAGAACAGAGACAACCAAGCAACCTGAAAGAGGTTTTTAATGAGTGTTTTTAAATATTCAAGAGAAAAGAAAAGAAATGGGCAAAAAGAAGTTAGGAAAAATAAGGGAAGAATTTCTAAAAAGAGGTAAACATAGATTCTAATTATGAAAAATATAGTCATTAAAAATTGTAAAGTCTTAATATATGAGTAAAACAGTAAAGCAGAGCTGAGGGGAAAAATTAGTTAATTAGAGATAGATATTAGGAAATCCCTCAGAACACAGTTTGAGTGATAAAAAAAATGGAGCACATAAAAGAGAAGATGAAATACATGGAGATAGAATGAGAAGTCCCACGTGTGGAGGAGAGATATTATTTGAGGAGATAAGGGTAAAAATGTTTTAAGATATAAAGAAAATTATGAATCTCACATCGAAAATGAACATGGAATCAAAAATGATAATTAAGTACAAATCCATACCTAAACACATATTAATGAAACTACTTTACATGAAAATAAAGATAAAGGCTCCCAGAGAGAAAAGACATACTACCTTAAAAGGAGTGATAATCAAATTAACAGCTGACTTCTCATCATTAATAACAAATTCCAGAAGACAATGGAATAATATCTTCTAAGTGCTGATGGAACACAACTGTTAATTTAGTTTTTATAACCTAAAAAGGTAACTTAATGTAATAGCAAAATAAAGATCTTTTCAGATTTCAAAAAACCAAAGAATTTTACTGCTATGACCTTCATGGAAAGAATTACCAGAGGATTTACTTCAGCGGGAACAAAATTTAACCCAGAGAAAAGAGTGAGATTCAAGAAGCATTAGTGAACAAAGAAATAAACGCACATTCTAGGAAATGTAGATTAAGTATTGACAGTGAAAAGACAATGCTCTGGTTAGTAATACTACAGAAGAGATTACTAGATCTTTTGGAATTAGGGAATTCTAAAGTTCTCCTGAATGAGAATTATTTAATTCAAGAGAAATAGACATTGATTAGCTTCATACTTTGAAAATGATGTCGTAAATGTAACAGTATAAAATAGGCTAATCAAATAAAGTGATATTTCTAGTCTATTAACCAGTCATTCCTAAATCCCTTGAGATACTTTTTTTTGAAATACAGATTCTTAGGACCCATTAATGATTCTAGTTCAGTGTATCTGGAGGGGCCTTTGCTTCAAGTTCCCCAGCTAATTTTCTGGGCAGTATTAGATGTTAGTGACTAGCCCAACAGAGTATCTCCTCTGGGTTCCTGCCCCTTGGGTCTCCAGAATGGAGAGAGAAAGTATGAGCTGGAACCCACTAGAAAAACCAATGTACCATAAGAAGCTCCTGGGCTGGTATCCTGGGATTACATTGGAAAAAGTCTCCTTATTCTCCCTGGTATGTACTGTTTTACCAGGTGATTGGTTTCAGGGGGTAGTTAATAGATTCTGATAAATGGACGTGAATTATTTTGAAGTAACAATTTAAATTGTGTATGGGCAGAAATGGAATATTTAGGCATATGGAGTTTGAGTATCAGGAAGTGTTTTTCATGATGATGTAATAACTGTTAGCATTCTGTGTGCAGCAGCAGGAGATTCAAATGTTTGAAGTGACTGAACAGTACTGCTTGTGAGAAAATGCTTTTAAAAAATATTTAAAACTTATTAATAGGTCTTTCTTTAGGCTGGATGAGAAGCAGAGGCCAATGCCTGGAAGTCCTGTGAAAATACCGCTTGGCTGAGACTAAAACGGGATGTCATTTACCAGATCCTTGACTCAAGTTCCCATGATCTATTTCTGAAGAATATTTATTGGGGGTCCCAACTCCCCAAACTCAGCAATAGATGCTCTACGTATAAAGAGCCAAAGTCTATGGAAATCCCAATTTACCTCTTTTTCTGACACCTGGCATACTGGATTTGGGGGACTCAAAAAGGTGCATAGCATGTCATGTTAAAGCTCCCCGCCTTTGTTTGAAGGCCTTCTGGCATGGGAACACTTAGAATTTAGGAATTATGAGCTTCATCCATAGAGTGAAGCTTCAACCCAGAGTTGAGTTGGAGAATTATTCCTCAGTTCTTCCCATGGACAGCAATCCTTAAAGAGCAAGACGCTGTCTCCTCAGTCACGGTACTGCTTTCACTTGTCCGAGTGTGTTTTCTCTGTGAGGCTGTGAATGCTGCAAGAACGGGGCTTGGTCTTATTAATCAGGGAGTCTCCAGGTCCAGCCTTGTGCCTGGCACATAGTGAGCACCCAGGGTATTTTTAGTTTTGAGTAAGAGAGTGAATACATGAAGTCCCTGAGGTCGGTGCACTTAACATCATCTCAGAAAAAAACATATCCTCCCCTTTGAAATGATGCTCTGCACCAGGTAACCTGGCCTAGTTCAGATCTGTACTTTCAAATATGGTAGCCACATGTAGTTATTTACATTTAAATTAATTGAAATTAAATAAAATTTCAGTTCTTCAGTCACATTAGCCACAGTTTAAGTGCTCAGTAGCTAATGGCCACTACCCTGGACAGGACAGCTATGAAGTATTCCATTGCTATAGAAAGTTCTATTGGACAGGGCTAGTATAGACCCTGGCTGGGACGCCTGGAGCTCTATAGCTCCTCTGACTTTACCAGTTCTGAACTGTGTGTCTGGGCGAATCACTCAGGTTCTCATGCACACACGACTCCCTCACAGAGTAGTCTAGCTAATTACTTCTCGTCTTTCAGGTCTCAGCTCATTTAATATCCTCAGCTACGTCAAGGCCTCTCAGGTACCTTGTGCAATTCTTTGTCAAGGTTGATGTTGTATTTTTTTATGTGATTACTCAGTTAGTATCTGTATGTCTTTATATACTGTCAGCTCCATGAGGACAAGAACATGTCTGGTTTTGCTCAGCACTGTACATCCAGTGATAACAAAATGAATGACATGAAGTATGCACGCAGTATTTATTGAACAAATCTATGAATGAACTCACAGTTTCAATGCCTGTACCACAGCCACTGCAAGTGGTTGATGCCCTGCTGGACTGATACTCAATTGAGACGCACAGGTAAGGCCATGTCTGTGTTCATAGTCTTCATCCCTTCGATTGCTAATCATGTCCATCCTGCTTTACTGTTGCCTGTGCTAAATATCTTCACCATCACCCCTGGAGATTTGCCAGCATAATTAGGAATTTCATGGTAAATAGACTAGCTGTGCCAACTCAGTGTCCACAAAGAGCAGAACACAGCATTACATTTAGGCATTAGTAACCTTCATATCTTCCATTCATTCATACAGGCTACTCATTCAAGCTCTCCATCAAGTCAAAAACCTGGCACTGAAACCCTGGACAGTTTTCTGGGCAGTGACTCTCCTCTAGGAAGTCCCCTACCTCCAGGGCTTAACATCCAGCCCAACTATCAAGATTATACAGAGAAAGTTAGAAAACATACATGTCAATGCTCCAAAATTCTAGCCACATTTCTCCCAAGTGCCCAACAGTTTGTGATGAATGTCCAGGCTATCCCGAGCAGCATCTCAGGCCTCTTGTTTTAGTGGAAATTTGAGGAAGTCGGGGCAGTTGTAGCCCAACATCCCCTGAAGTGGTTCGGATCTGCACATACCACCACCTCTGAGTACAGACAAACCAACACAGCAACATGAAGGGCCGCCCACTTGGGCTCCTGTCAGCCTTCATGTCTGAGTTCATGTGGCTCTCCCTCAGAATCGGAAGTGGAAAACCAAATAAAGTCAACTCCATGGAGGTCCTGTAGGCTTAACACTGAGCAGCCACACGAATACCAGAGCAATGCATCATGATTCATGTTTTTACAATAAATGCCTAAGAAAGTAATGAGGATTTGGCACTTAGTATAAAGCATTGGCAAGACAGCTCAAAGTTTTCTGCCCTTTGTAAAGTGTAGCCTGGGATGTATTCTCTCATGGAGCAGTATGCACTAGCAACATTATCTATAGTAGCAAAGGAGTTAGTTACTCATAAAGCTTTATTAAGTAATGTCAGGACCTTTTTTTAAAATTTCCTTTTCTGTTCTGGAAGAGGCTTTAGAAAAGTCACCAAGTTGTTTTTCCCAATGTGTCTATAACAGCCCAATATCAGAAGATGAAACGTATACCTAGAGGATTAGCAATCCAGAAATCACCTTCCACTTTGGGAAAGAAGTGCTGAAAAGTTAAACAAGTACACTCTTGATTTAATACTGCTCATGTTTACAGAGGAAATATGCGAAGGACAGAAACAAGCTAGGGCAAAGAGCATTCCTATAGAGCAAACATTTTGGGAATAAGGAAAAGCAAAAACTAAAAGACCAGATGGTTCTTTAGTCCCATACATATGGGAAAGAGTGTGATGCCTCACCAGGAAAGGGGCTTTTCCATTTAGAAAAATAAAACAGATAAACTTGTATCTCCATTTAAGATGGACACATCCTTGGAAGTCAGTTGTGTGATGAGCTGTGTTGCTCAGTAAGGGTGCCACAATAGACAGGAAAGGTGCAGGCCATTTGTCTTGTTCATAGAGTGGACAGCCTGGTGCTACAGATTCTTGGTTTAAGAGAGAAGAATGAGAAGGGACCATGGAAAGATAATCTTCTTGCTTAGTATGAGAGCACCAGACAACTCTCCAAGTTTTCCAGATTACTCTCAAGGGAATGAGCCAGAGGGGAGATCTGGGGGAAGTGGGGCACATTTGCAAGACAATGCCTGCCCTTGGCAATGAAAGGCCTTCCATCCTGTCTGCCCAGGCCCCCAACTTCCTCCTGGTCTCTCACCCTCTAGGTCTTTGCACATGTGGTTCCTTCTGCTTGGGACCCTCTCCACTCCCCACCTTCCACCAACCTTGCCCAGCTAATTCCTACTTAGCATTGTAGCCATCCCTTCTGCCAGGAAGCCCCCTGTGACTGGGTAAAACTATGTTAGGAGCTGCTCCTCCCACTCCTTTCACCACTGACCCATCATCCAGTTTGCCCGGGACTGAGGAGGCTCCTGGGATGTGGGACTTTCAGTGCTAAAATCAGGACCTTCCGGGCAAATCAGAACAATCACCAGCACCCCATGCATGGTCCCAGTGCTCCCTTCTCCCAGCTTTAGGATCCTCTGTTGTGACTGCCCGTTTATGTGTAGCCTGGAGACTGTCCGTTCCCTGAGACAGGGACTGGGTTGCTCATCTGTCATCTTGCTGCGTACCCAGCACAGGTCTGGCACATGGCAAATAAGCAAAACCATACCCGGAATAGGTACTTAGTGCTGAATGCATGAATGAATATACAATCAACATTCTTTTCCAAATATGTGTCTCGTTCTTGTTTCCTGCAGCCTCCCTGGTGCTTCTTTGAGTACAGGCACGGGTGCTGAGAGTCGGTGTGGTGCATTCCAGCTGAGGTGCACCTGGCAGGAGCTCCCGCGGACAGTCAGCTCACCCTTCTTTCCTGCTACTGGTCACCATTTACCTTCAGTTACTGCTGTGAAGTGATTAGGGTGCAGAACACATATTTTATTACTGCTGATGTTGTTGGCTACCATTAATTGAGAGCTTATGTGTTAAACACCATCAGGCTTTCATTCATTTTCAGATTTAATACTTAAAATATCCCTATAAGATAGGACTGCCACCATTTTCCAGATGAAGACCCTGAGGCTCAGAAAAGTTAAGTAACTTCTCCAGGGTCCCACAGTTGGTTACAGGAGCCCTGGGTCTAGAACCAAAGTTGAAAGCCTGCCTCTAAAGCCTATGCTTTAAACCACTACCCTCTACTGCAGGAGGCGTCCTGGGCAGGGCTTTGCTGTCAAGTCCACAGCGCAGTAAACTGAGGCAAGGGACACGGGGCAGTTCTGTCTCTTGCCCATTACCTGCCCTGAGCCCAGCTGAGTACGAAAGCCTGGGTGAAAGAAAGCCTGGTTCAGGATGTTATGTCCCTGATTTTCAGGGACAACGGTCCCAGTGGTTTTATGAGGGAGCTGCATGAATAGCTAATAAACAGGGAAGGCTCTGCAACCCTCCGTCTGATCAATAGGAAGCCAAGCTCAAGAAAAGATAATACTGTTGTACCAAGTAACACAGGCAGACTGCAGCACCACCAGGCCTGAGACCCCCATCCCCCTGCTGGCCCCACTTGTTCCGTTCACTCTATGACATTAAAAGCACACAAGGCTCTCTTTACCACATTCCTTGGGTTTCAAGGCCGCTGTTCCCGTCTTCCCTTCCCAATCCTAATACTTTTTTCTTTCTTTTTAACATTTGAGGAAGAAAGTGTTGCAGTTAACAACATTTGAATTCCACAATGTCACCATAACATGTCATAAATACTTTTATTACTTATTATGAAATGCTTAGGGACCATGGAAGACTAAAGTTTATTCGATTCTTTCTAATGTAGCTCAAACAAGTGTATTGCGGTCATAGACTGGGTGTGGGTAGGGAGGGGGCTGGACTTGTTGATTTAATCTTCTCGATGCCATAGGCAGTATCTCTGTGATTGTGCTGGAATTGCATTTCACTGGAAGATAGATTTGTTTTAGCTGAGTCTTTGTGGTCCTGAGAATGGCGAGTTCTCAGAAATACCTACCCAGGCATCCAGCACTGTCTGAGTGAGTTAAGGGTGCCTGTGGACCAAGAGTCTGGTCACCCCAGAGCCCACAGTAATCAGAAAATCCCGTCCCAGGAAGCACTGTGCGTGCAAAGCCAGTTGGGCAAACCAACTTTGGGAGTACTTTCAGTACTTTCTAACCATGGATAAAAAGACTAGAGACCGTAAGCCCTGCACACATCACTCCCACTGCCCTGCATACCTGCAAGCCAGGAATTTTGCTCATACTAAAAAGGCATCTTCCAAGAGGACCTATGAACTTAAAAACAAGTGCTGTTTAATTTGCCGTTCATTACGGGTGTATCTGGATTGATTTATTGCGCCCTTTTGACCCCAAGTCTTTGGAATAGCATTCCTTCACGATTAAACAGAGAAAGGATTCAGGCACAACACTCAGGGATAAGCACAGAAGGCGACACCCGTACCTCAGATTGCTCCGTATCAGGTAACGCAAAGGGAACGCTGAACCCAATTCCACGTGGAATGCACGTGAGCCAGACAAGAGTTGGCAAGTTCTTTGACCCACGTTTCTCTAACCTTTCCTAAAGGATGTGGCCAGCACAGACCACTATTATCCAGATTATGGGCTTTTGAGTACTTCCACATTCAGGAGACTGGGAGAATGCCTAGCCACATACAATTGATCACAGAAATTGCAATCCCTTTGGATCCCGAGGAAGTCAGCTCTTCCTGGTAGCTACCCAGGAGTGGCAAAAATAAAAGAGGGAGAGAGAGAGGGGGCTAGGAAGAGTGCACCGGGGAGAATAAATTTCTCCTGGCAGCTCAATAGGCCAGTGTGATCAGAAAATGAGAACAGCCTTATAAAGCACTAGGGAGAGTGAGGCTACACCAATTTCGCCCTTTAGAAAGGAGATCAACAGCCTCTCTTTGGGTGGCACGAGTATAATTACAGCAATTAAGAGGAAAGACTACAGACCTTTTTTTGCTCTGTGTAAACAAACAATTCAGGGACTTCCAAGCTGAAGAGAATTGGTACACGGTTTAATTTCATCTACTACTGTGGCTCACCTTGCTGAACTGGCTTCCAGGAAAATTTCAAGGACTGACGCTTTTGTGGCTGTGATTTGGGTTAATGCACAGATTTACCTGGAGCTGGAGTAGGGGAAGGGGAGCAGAGTACTTTCCCTGGCTACCCAGCTCCCTACCCCTGCAGGGAGCGCCCAGGCCACTAGTCCAGACTGCAGGAGGTGGGGGGTGGCGGGTGGAGGGGGTGGAAGGAAGGGGATTCAGGCTGAAGTCTCCCCTGTCTGGCTCTTCCTTGGACGCCCTGAACAGTGTTGCCTGCAACAGCACAATTTGATCTGACCTCCACTTCCTGCATTCCTTTCGCCTTTCCTCCCACCCCAACGTGGCATGTGTTGGGGTGTCTAGCAAGCATCCTAATTCTGTTTTGTTTTCCCTTTGAAGCCCAATGGCAATAGAAAAAAATAAAGGGGAGTCTGGGGCAGTAGACTGGGCTGGGGAGTAGCTCATTTTCTGTGGTTTGGGGGCTACTCGGAAGCTGTCAGATCCAACCTCTTCACCCAGTGGCTGACATCCCACCATCTGTGAGTGGCTGGCTTCCCTAAGGATTACTTAGGATTTATCAGTGCAGCTAACTAAATGAAGCCCTGGCTATTCACCATGGAACTCAGTTACATGGAATTGCTGTGTGAAAAGCAGCTTGACTACAAATCAAGTCCCAAAAATTCTCTAGAGGATGACTTCCTTCCTCTCCCTACAGATTTTGGTCTAGTCTAGCTATAAGTCAGACCATACTAAACATAGCCTCTGAGCATAGTGACAAGTCCACCCAGCTACTTTCTCATGATGCAATAACAGGCCAGCAGACAGAACCTGAATTTTGTTGATAGAGATTCATTTCTTCAATTAAGATTATTTACATTGTTCTTTCAAATGTCAATGCTTTGGCTCCCATATTTTGGTGTGCTTGCAAAATGAGAGGATCTTTTCTCAAGATGAGGCTGATAGGTGAAATGTTCCTGAAGATGGGAGACCTGAGCCCTCCCACCAGCTCTGGGGCTGGCTGGCTGGCTGGAGAACCAAAGAGCTTCCACCTGAGGCTCTCACTATCTTGTACTCCTAGGCCAGAGCTCTCTTGCTGCTCCAATCTGCCTTCCATACTGACTCTCTGTAAGAAGCTGTCACACTCCCTCAGACTCTCACAAAGCCCACTTGACTTGAAAGGGGGCAGTGCCACCCAGGAGAGCTGGTGGAGCTTCTGAATTGAGTTGAGGGCCAAGCCCGCACACCCTGCCGAAGGTTCAGAAAGGCAGGCGTCTCTGCGCCTTTGTCCCCCACGGGGACCATTTGTCAATGTTACTAAAAGCCTGGGCTTGGGGAGGGCTCAGGACAGTGCCAGCAATTCAGGAAAAAGAGTTACCAGAGGACCAGCATGAATTCAGAGGCAATTGTTACAAGAGAATTATGTTTACTTGGCGTTTTTTCCCTCCATACCTTTCATGAATGCCCAGGCAGTAGATGGCCCATCAGCCCATTCTAGCCCCTTTCACAGCTGTCACCCTTCTCCAGCAATGGCACAGTATGGTGTGAGCAGAGTAAAGGGAAGGTAGAGGGAATGAGCTCTGCATGCTCCTAGCTGCCCCATCCTAAGCCCTCACCACTATTCCCTTTATCTTTCCTGGCTGGCGTTGCCCTCAAACTCTCCCATCATTCAAGCCCCCTTGGCTTCATAATCAGCTCCTTTGCTCTGTCATTCAACTAAGAAGTCTTAACATCTTTGGATGGTCAGCGTCATTTCTGCACCCACACTGCCTAGCTCTGTGACCTTGGGAAGGTCCTTAACTTCTCTATGCATTTGTAATTGGTGCTAATTTATACCACATGGGTGATAACCACCCTTGATGAGAGTCGAACTAAGGGTATGAAATGAAATAACGTTTATAAAATGATTAACGCAGGTAAACACTCCGGACATGGTAGCTATTGGAATTAATATTAATATATACTCTATTATGCCTTTTTGTTTGTTTCCTCTGAAAATTACCCATTTGTGGGAAGATGCTGAAATTATGCTTGTGCCAAGAGACTATTCTTTTCCTTAAAAGTTATTTAGCTTACTTGCCTTGATGTCCATGAGGCACTCCCTCCAGTCTGAGCCATATTCCTTCAGGTTTCTAGTTGACTGGTGGCATTCACTTTGCACAAAGTATAAAAAAGAAGACACAGAACAGTCAGAGGAGAACATCTTTCTGAAAGTTCTCCACCAAGTGTGAGGAAGAAAAAGAGGTAGAAATAATATAAAATTATAATAATAGAAAAATGTAGGAAATAACAGAAAATCAAAGACAAGGCTCACAAGTAAGTGTAGGGCCAAAAGGACCTCGAGCCGACAGCATATTCAGGGGGTTAGAGACAGATTCAAGCCCAGCAGGGGCCCCAGAGATGCTTACCCTCACTGACATTGAACAACCATCTCTGGAACTGCCCGTCATCACAATGTTCACGTGAAAGGTCTGCATGCTGAGTTCAGATTCTCCCTGATCAGGGACCCAGAACATGGGGCAAATCAGTGCCTGACAACTTGTGTAGGCCAGTGTCACGAGGCCTCTTTTCCCCAGTGTGCCCCAGGTGGTCTTATCTTCAGAGGGGTTGGAACCTGTGATCCCAGACCTGCCACATGTGTGGTTTAAGTCCCACATCCAATGTGCAGAAACCATCTGCACATCGTTCTGTAGGACTGACCCTGAGGGTCTCTGGCAAACTCCTTGCCCAGGAGTGGAGAGCCTGCTGGAAGAACTCTACCTTCTCGACTCTCTTTGAGGTCTGGTGTGGAGCTGTGTTCGGTGACCTCTGGAGCACATGATAAGCTCTTGGCTTTAAGTTAATCTGCACTTCATCAAGCAGAGAAAGAGTTAATTTAAAGCGAAGGGACAAAGCTATTTAGTGTCAGGCTTTTGCCAGATCTTTCCATGCTGAAGCATAGGCTTGAGCCAGGGCCAGAAAGAAAGAAGAGCTGTTAGGTGGGGCTAGTGTAACAGGGAGTAGGAGGACGCCTGGAGCTCTATAGCTCCTCTGACTTTACCAGTTCTGAACTGTGTGTCTGGGCGAATCACTCAGGTTCTCATGCACACACGACTCCCTCACAGAGTAGTCTAGCTAATTACTTCTCGTCTTTCAGGTCTCAGCTCATTTAATATCCTCAGCTACGTCAAGGCCTCTCAGGTACCTTGTGCAATTCTTTGTCAAGGTTGATGTTTTATTTTTTTATGTGATTACTCAGTTAGTATCTGTATGTCTTTATATACTGTCAGCTCCATGAGGACAAGAACATGTCTGGTTTTGCTCAGCACTGTACATCCAGTGATAACAAAATGAATGACATGAAGTATGCACGCAGTATTTATTGAACAAATCTATGAATGAACTCACAGTTTCAATGCCTGTACCACAGCCACTGCAAGTGGTTGATGCCCTGCTGGACTGATACTCAATTGAGACGCACAGGTAAGGCCATGTCTGTGTTCATAGTCTTCATCCCTTCGATTGCTAATCATGTCCATCCTGCTTTACTGTTGCCTGTGCTAAATATCTTCACCATCACCCCTGGAGATTTGCCAGCATAATTAGGAATTTCATGGTAAATAGACTAGCTGTGCCAACTCAGTGTCCACAAAGAGCAGAACACAGCATTACATTTAGGCATTAGTAACCTTCATATCTTCCATTCATTCATACAGGCTACTCATTCAAGCTCTCCATCAAGTCAAAAACCTGGCACTGAAACCCTGGACAGTTTTCTGGGCAGTGACTCTCCTCTAGGAAGTCCCCTACCTCCAGGGCTTAACATCCAGCCCAACTATCAAGATTATACAGAGAAAGTTAGAAAACATACATGTCAATGCTCCAAAATTCTAGCCACATTTCTCCCAAGTGCCCAACAGTTTGTGATGAATGTCCAGGCTATCCCGAGCAGCATCTCAGGCCTCTTGTTTTAGTGGAAATTTGAGGAAGTCGGGGCAGTTGTAGCCCAACATCCCCTGAAGTGGTTCGGATCTGCACATACCACCACCTCTGAGTACAGACAAACCAACACAGCAACATGAAGGGCCGCCCACTTGGGCTCCTGTCAGCCTTCATGTCTGAGTTCATGTGGCTCTCCCTCAGAATCGGAAGTGGAAAACCAAATAAAGTCAACTCCATGGAGGTCCTGTAGGCTTAACACTGAGCAGCCACACGAATACCAGAGCAATGCATCATGATTCATGTTTTTACAATAAATGCCTAAGAAAGTAATGAGGATTTGGCACTTAGTATAAAGCATTGGCAAGACAGCTCAAAGTTTTCTGCCCTTTGTAAAGTGTAGCCTGGGATGTATTCTCTCATGGAGCAGTATGCACTAGCAACATTATCTATAGTAGCAAAGGAGTTAGTTACTCATAAAGCTTTATTAAGTAATGTCAGGACCTTTTTTTAAAATTTCCTTTTCTGTTCTGGAAGAGGCTTTAGAAAAGTCACCAAGTTGTTTTTCCCAATGTGTCTATAACAGCCCAATATCAGAAGATGAAACGTATACCTAGAGGATTAGCAATCCAGAAATCACCTTCCACTTTGGGAAAGAAGTGC